ATGATGAGTGGTGTATGATGAGTGGTGTATGATGAGTGGTGTATGATTAGTGGTGTATGATGAGTGGTGTATGATGAGTGGTGTATGACTTGAGGCCAGGGGGAGGAGGTCGAAAGCTAGCCGAATCGCACCGGATGTACTAGTGCCGGAACGAGGGGTAAGCATCACAAGGACTGTGCATACACTAGGGCGTCCGTAGTGTAGGATAAGCACTGGTAAAAGGTATCAAGAATAGAGAGTCTTGAGGAAATAGCCGGTGTATGGTTATAGCAAGCCTGGGGGGTAAATTTAACACCCGCTTATGCATGCATTAGGTTAGAAATAGGGGTAAACAACTTGTAACGGTGAAGTACAAGTCCTATGCAGCAAGCAGCAGCAGCAGCAGCAGCCGCCTGCAGCCAGCAGCCAGCAGCAACCGCCAACCAGCAGCCAGCCAGCAGCACCACGCAGCAGCAGCGCAGCATCAAGCCGCAGCAGCAGCAGCACCACCGGCAGCAAGCAGCAAGCAGCAAGCAGCAGCAGCAGCAGCGGCGTCGTCAGCAACAGCAGCAGCAGCACCAAGCCGCAACAAGTAGCAAAGCAGCAGCTACAAAAGCGGCAACCAGCGGCAGCAGCAAACAGCAGCAGCAAGCAGCAGAGCGGCAGCAGCAGCACCGTTTACACCAAGCCACCGTTTACACCCAACCAACCACGTTCACACGTTCAACCAACCCCCTACACGGCGCGCAGCTGGGAGTCGAACCGGGGGGGGGGGTTAGCGTGATATATCAAGCTTTAAGGCACACAGCTCATCCCACTACCAATTGCTAAAGCAAAGAAGAACTCAGCTAGCATGCTAGCTTTCGTGATGAGTGGTGTATGATGAGTGATGTATGATGAGTGGTGAATGATGATGAGTGGTGTATGATGATGAGTGGTGTATGATGATTGGTGTTTGATGAGTGATGTGATGAGTGATGTATGATGAGTGGTGTATGATGAGTGGCGTATGATTAGTGGTGTATGAACAGTTCTTGAATGTCCTTTGTCTATATAGTAGCGTCTTTGCTACTAGTAGGATATAATGCCCTTGTTACTGGTAGCGATGCACTTGTTACTAGTAGCTTCTTGTTCCGCTCACTTCTTGTTGCGTTGCCCAGCCTGCTGAGACTGCCATTCCTCAAAGTACTCTGTCATAGAGCAGCTCGCCCAAGAACGTCGTGCCCCAATCTCCTTCCACTGAGCAGTGGGCAAGTCTACGTCTTCGCTATTAGGTTGGAGGCCATTGCTATTTGGTTTTTGTTGTGAAGCTGGAACAGGTACCGATCAAATCAGCTCAGCAGCTCCGCTGGCACGATCCACTTTTCAGAGCAACCCTCCGGGTAAGGAGGGCCGCTAAAGTATGGGAGGCTGCACACCCGAGCAAATGTCACCGCAAAACCCTCAAATAAGATTTATATGTTGCCGGCAAACCTGTTACTCATAGTCCTGGCAATAAAAGGAATTGGAGAAGAATTTGTTCTGCATCCAGAGTGCAGAGGGGATTGCAGGGCTGCTGATACTGATGGTCTTAATTGAGCGTTTGATTCAGTTTGAGCTTGCACAACCCCTGCCATTTTACAGTTGCAGTGTGAGTGCCCTCATTGACTGCCTTCTGGTACTGAGTCTTTCAACATTGCTCTTGAATATCAACACCCCCCACTTTCCCAGACTTTCCCACATACTCAATCCTGCGCTTCAAGATGAGCAGCTTCATCAAAGTGATTAATTTGGATAAAGGAGGAACTCTGCGCACCGCGCCCAAAGTCTTGCAAGGCTGCAGCCTTGTAAGATTTTTTCGAGTGACAGTGACTGCCTCACAAAGTCTTGGTGACGGAAATGAGCAAGGCGCCTCAATTTTGTCCGATTCCTGTTGTTCCTGGTTGGAGTTCTGCGGCAGGTAGTTGTACACCTCAAATCTTCTTCTACCTCCGCTCGCCAACGCAATTGAAAGAATCAAGTTGGAGAAACCATTCTGGCTGCCAAGACTCTCCAGGATAGGGCCTGAGCCCAGCTTGAAAATTTATGACTATCAGCAGAGGAGAAAAGGGTAGAAAAAAATGTTGGACCTACGGTAGGAAGTCTAACGAAAGCCAAGGTGTTCAAGCCTCATTCACAGCTTGTCCTCACAGGCCAGGCGACGGCGATGTGAGGATCGCATCCACTGGTGACCCCAAGCAAAGATGTCGCACATCACAATTGTAAAGCTGAAGTCTTCCCATACTGCCCTGGCAGGTGCGTTCAACATTGGCATTGTACCGAGCCCTGAACTCACTACTGCCATGAAGCCACTTGGCTTTGCCAATTGAGTGACATCCTCAGCCAGCAAACGTCAATGTGCAACAGAACAACACACGCAGGGGCCGGGACTGCTGATATAGTTCACTGCAGCATGTGGAGTGGATCCATTAAGGGTTCTCTCTCTCTATTTTATAGGTGGAGGCCATTGCTATTAGATTGCTTCTAGGTTGGAGGCCGTCGCTATTAGGCTCTCTCTCTCTCTCTCTCTTCCTCTGTTCATTTCTTGGCCTATTACTTCATTTCGTGTGACTGCTTCTGCAGCAAGGGCTCTCTCTGAGATCCTGCACCCTGGAAGCATATCTGTGAACAGCTGCCATGAAGGATCCTCCCGCATCCTCTCGCACATCCTGGGCATTATTGAAAGAACATTTGGGTGGCCTGTAATGCGATTCACTAAGAAAGTGCTCACAAAAGGAAAGCAACCTCAGCCCCAAACAGCGCTCCCTTGCGCGGCTATTTTGAATCCTGGCCAACTATTGCTGCTAGTGACAGCAACTACACTGTTTTGATTATTATTGTCACATAATTCGGGCCTATTCGCGGGCAAATCGTAAATGTGATGCTTGCAATGCTACGCGTCCCTGTAAGTTTTGAAGTTAGAAGGCTGAAAGCTCACATAGGCCTGCAACATCTCGCAACCACCAAACAAAAACAATAGAACGCCCTCGAACAGTGTATATAAATACATATATACTTATATACATGTCGCACGTCCACATGTTCTCGGAAATGGTAAGTTGCTTCCAAGATTGAATTGCACACCTCCTCCAACCCTACACCCTCCTCCCTTCCTCCGCGCCACTACTGAAACTAAGGTGACCATCCCGGCCTACCACCAAAGCGAACCAAAGAGCATTCTTCTCTGGCGATTGCGACAGTCTCTTGACACCTTCTTGAATGCTTTGCCAGTCCTAGCGTCAAAAAGCACACTAATTGGAACCTGGTCTTGGGACAACACGTTGGTGTCAGCCATCTAGCCTTCACCTTTCCACTGGTTGGCTTTGCCACGTCTCTCGCCACAACCTCAAGAATTACAGGGCTTCGATACAATGCGTTTCTCGAAAACTGTACAGGTACTAAGGTCCCTTCTTTGAGCTTGTCCAGGTCGGGCTTACCTGCATCACCTGTGCTCGTGCCCCACCCCCGTAAAACAAAAGGGCAGCAAAACATCTCTGAGTGGCAATGGTGATATGAGACGAACACGGCCAACCTGGGACCAGGCAAAATGAAGTCCAAGAAACATGCTCTCGCTGCTCTGGACCAAGCCAGAGGCTTTCAAAATTTATAAGATCCTCCCCGTAATGATCTAATGATGATTACAGTTGTCTTTGCAGGCGGGCAACGGAAGTGCATCGCAGCCAATGGCACTCTTCCCCTCAAGGTCCAAGGAGCGTTCACTGAGCGACAAAGTAACTTCCTATATGCCAATGTCTGTATCCCAAGATTTGTGAATAGCCATTGATCGTTTGCATCCAAGTTGCTTGGGCCAGCGCTTCTATCAGGACTGCTCCTGCTGTATAATATTGGATAACCATGTGTTTGAGGAGATATGCGTGCAGCATGCATGAACCACCCCACACAAGGTCGTCCAAATAGAATCTAGCGTTGGCATCCAGTATATTCATCTCGACTTAAGGTAAAAGCACGGTCACCAAGAGCCGCCCAGCTATAGAGGACTGTACGGCCTGCTGCATGCTTGGGTGTTCATCGAAGCTTCCTGCCTGATCCACAGAAAGGATCTAGGATGGTTCCTGCTGCAGGCACCAAGTCAAGCATTCGTCGCACCTTCCAGCTGTGGTGATGCTGTAATATATATATATTTATATATATATATGGTGTCTACAGGAACAATTGAATGCTTGGTATTGTCTTTCTGCTTCTAAGCTCTGAGGAGTGATCTGTCAAGGGCTGCATTCCGGACAAGTACCTAGGCTCGAGTCGCACATCTCACATCTCCATGACTGCAGATCACACATGCCGCTCCTTCATCACATCCGTTTCGCTGTCATCATTTCCCAAAAAGGACCTTTATCAAATCTATTGCACAGCCGGTTGCTTGTACGTCCCATGGGTAAGCTGCGGCTCTCCAGCAGGTACCCTAGGCAGCTGTCAAGTGAGACGAAGTCGTTGCAAGATGGAAAGGGCAAAGATATATCAAAAACTTAGGCACCGGCCGAGGATAACCTGAACAAGCAGCACAATGGGAGTAAACCAGGTCCAATGAGAGAGAAAGGCAGAAGTTTGGTGAGAGAAACCGTGAAGCCACTGGAGTTCCAATGCGCTCTCCAATACCTCTACCAGCTCAGGCTCCCCAAAAGAGCGAAATCGGTACAACGCCTGACAAGGTGACACCGCACGGCCACATAACTATATATATAATCAGGAAGAATGTGAAGAAATAAAGAAAATATATGTTGGAAAAGGATACAGGCAGAATGTGTTTGGATTCCTTCAATGAGGCCCCCCTTTAGTCATTATGTAAAGGAGTCCAAGCGCATATTTTTTGTTTTCCTTTTTGTTTCCTGACGCACATGTTCTTGCATCAAGTGATCCACTTGCCTTTCTCAATGGACTTCCGGTCCTTGCGCGACAAACACTGACATCAGCTGGACTGGCACAAGCACAAATGAACTACCATACAACCTATCCTTGCTGGCCCCTCAGGAAGTAGATCAACCATCTCATCCTGCAGGCGGCGCTCACTTCACTAGTCAAACTATTCACTCCAGTTTGCCAAGTCAGCTTCAGACTGTGCTCCAACTCCCTTCCCAGCCTCAATACCAGCCTCCCACATGCGATCGAACCAGGTTTGCATCTCTTCTACGTCGCCAATCCGCGCAGCGCCCTTTACCAGACCTGAGACTGTAAAGCTCCTACACCGCCCTGGCGCTGGGCAAAATGCACCTGTGAAACGTGAACAGGTCTGCTGAGTGTCGAACTGCTGAACGAGACTCGGTTTGGCTGAAGTCTTCGCAAGCGGATCTGCTCCAACCAGTGTTCCGCACGTTCAGTTTCGCCACTCTCCACGCAGGCATTAATCAGACCTCAAGCTGTCGAAAGAAAAGACTTCTTCTGGGACGGTGGTCCACACGGGCTGGCAAACTTGATGACATGATGTCCCGCTGCTTTGACGAATCTATCTAGTAGATCTAGCCAGCCCAAGTCACTGTTGTAGGTGTAGATGTCATCCTGGGAGGATATCTTTTGAAGAAAAGTCTCAACATGCAAACTGCATTCTGTCTGATACTTGCTCTCTCGCACGCCCGGCGTCCAAGTGTGAAGAAACCAATTGTTCCAGCAATTCTTCTGCTCCTTAACATCATTCCACTGGCATGCACACATGCACGCATACACATCAATTGCGCCAGCATAGACCCGAAAAAGCAACACAGGGGAAAATACGCAAACATGTCAGGTCAATGTCAGTCACTGTCGGACTTGCCTATTATGGCAGCACAGCACTAGAGCAAATTCCTGTTGTCGTAGCCTCTTTTTGCAGGCCAAACTGCTGGACAACTGCCCCCGCACAGCACAAGCATGCATAATTCCATTGAAACTCAGCACATCTGCTTGCAACTGCATTGAGGACCTAAGGTTCCAAGGCATTCGGATGTTCACAGGCAGTTTTCGCGGTGCATATCTACACATGGGTCAGAAGCCAGGGCACGCATTTCTGAGCCACTGCTCCGCGCGTTTGATCTTTCCAGCTTGCGCGCATGCATTTATGACACCTGATCCACAAGCAAAATGTAGGACTCTGTGGAACCAGCGGAACGCGCAGCTGCCCTGCTATTTCCCTAGGCAAAAAGGTTGCATGGCGTCGGGTAACATACGGCCCCTGTTCATTGGGCCAATGGATCGACGGAAGGATTGGTTCCCAGCATGCTCATGCCATCGTTTCCCGTTTCACAGCACCCCAAAATGTTGTGGGTGCCAATCCTTCTCAACTCGGCACTCGAGTGGCCAGCCTTTTTGGCGGCATCGCGCAAAGTCATTGCGCTCTCGACCGGCCGAATGCCAAAAAATCCCGATCGGATCACCTCTCTCAGAGCGGCGTTCGAGCCGTTGATCTTCGTCAGACCGTCGGCGATCATCGCCAGGTGCTCGACCCACTTCACTTGTCCTTGTAATCGTCGGAGGTCATCTCGAATGATTTGGATCTCTATTGCTGTCCTCTTGTCCGATCCCCCGATTGTTTCACGAGTCAGGTGATCGTACAGGGACTTGGCGTCGATCACGGCCAGGCTCTCGCGGAGCTCGCTCTCCGTCTCCTCCGAGCTGATCACCATGAGCTCCTCCGTCTTCAGGTGTTCTCTCCAATCTCGGATGTTCAGAGTGCCATCCGAGAGTTCCTTCATGAGCAGCATGGTCCATGTGAGCTCGGCCAAGCCTTTTGACAGGCTCTGAGTTTCCGCTGCCATGGTGGAGTTAACCACACGCTGCAGCTTGGCGCTGCGCCAGGCTAGGATGTTGGTTGGCGCCGGGACTCCGTCTCGGAGATGACTTTCATGAGCAATCACCAGGTGGCCTCCTTGGGAGTGAAAACCATTGTTGGCATAGGAGGCATCCGTCACCACACTGAGCTTCATCTTGGCAAGAGGCTGGATTCTCAAGCTCAGCTTTGAGTGCTCCTTCAAATCCTTGACCACGGCATTCAGCTGGGTGATGTCCTCGATGGTCAGCCTGTTCAACTTGGAAGCCATCAGGCTCGAGGGTCCGGCCGCGTCTGGACGGCCTTCTTTGCTCAGCCAGTTCAAAGCTCCGCAGGTCGCTCTGGCAGCATTCTTCTCCGCCTCATTCACAGCCTCCTTCTTTGCCGACTTTCTTCCTTTCTCCAGCGGGACTGGGCGCAAGCGCTCCTCCACAAACTTCTGCATGTCGATCAGGAATCCCCCGTCCGGAGTCTGTTTGATTCGTCGGCCGTTGAAAGCTGCCCCTTCTTTCTCCTCCTTGAGGGTGACATACTTGCCGAACTTGTACTTCTCCTGGAGCTTCTTCATCTTCTCGTGGTGTGCTTGATGGCCCACGGTGAACAAGTCATCCACTTCTATGGCAATTGCCCCGAGGAGGTTCTTCCGTTTGGAGCCATACAACTTGAAGATGCAGGGGTCCAAGGCTGAACTCTCATAGCCCAGAGCTTTCAGGTCCTCTGTCAGGCTTCGCCTCCAGTGGAGGGGAGCATCGATGAGGCCGTAGCAGCCATTGATGATCCTCACGATCTGTTCGGGATGTAGCCCCACGACTCCTTCCTTCAGCTGTTGAAAGTAGAGAGGACCGTTTGGTCGGACCAGCGGCTTGCTTTGGCAGAATGCGTTTCGAAGGTCTCCCACCGTGGCCATCATGCCTTGGTTCGCCGCGAGCTGCAGGAGGATGTTGAAGTTGACTGTGTTTAACGTTGGTGAAAACCTCTCTAGCTCCATGGCGTCTGGATCTTGATCTCCTCGGATGCAGAGCCTTGACTGTTTCGTAGGAGGTTCGCCAGGCTGCTCAGCGGGCTTGTACCTTCGAGCAATTTTGGTCGGGAGGATTCGGTTCTCCTTTCCTTCGGCCTTGAGGTTGGCTCGCACTTCCTGGGACTCCTTCAAGGACATGACCTCTACGGCTCCACTTCCAGTGACTTTGTTCCACTCGGAGAGGTCCGCTTGTTGCCATTCTTCGAGTCCTTGATCTTCTTGACGTAGATCCACCTCATCTTGCCCCTTCTTCTCCGCGACCCAGGCCTCCAGTGCCGGAGAACTCTTCATCCAGAAGGTGGTTCGTCCACGCCACCATTCTTCCTGTGGCGGAAGCTCCTTCTTGGTCCAGTCGTCTTCTATCGTCCGGAGGGAGTTCTTGCTGGACCTCATGATGGTCTCTCTGCGGGGTTCCAGGTATTCGACTGGGAACGGGCTGTCTTGGCAGATGCGAGGGTTGAAAGGAGCTTTTCTGTAACGGTCATGGTGTCGGATCACCCTTCCGTTCTTCATATCCACCTCCCAGTAATCTCTGCCTTTGCTCTTTTGGTCCAGTCGTCGAGCCCGAATCTTGCGGGCGGCTTCCATGGCTTCTTCCTCCTCTGCCAGGTCCTCGTAGTCGTTCTGGTCGATGAAGTGCCATTCCTTGGTGACCATGTAGGGGTTGTTCTCCCGGAAGGTTTGCTGGAGCTGAAGTACCGGACCTGAGCTTTGGTCTGGGTGCCCATCGAGTCTCCATGCCTGGCTGATAGATTCATCAATAGCCCTTTGAGTTTCTTCCGCCGTAGGTGTTAGGCGGATACCAGGTCGGCTTCTGACTGGAGGTGTCTCTGGTACTCCATCTGGAAATGGATCTCGAGCGGCTTCAGCTGGTGCCTCCTCCTGTTCCGGCTCGGCTATTGAACGTCGCCGGACCATTTCCTCTTCTCCGGATGGCCTGCCCTCCTGCGGCATCTCCGTTGGTGTGTAGTCGATCTCTTCCACCTCCGGTGCCATGCGGACTTCTCTTCGGGGAGCACGAGCTTCATCTTCCTCTTCTTCTTGCCGTTCAGGGGCTCCTTCTTCATCTGGCCATGGCTCATTGGTGAAGTCCTTGTAGCCAGCTCGATGGCACCCGCTTGAACTCCTCCACTAGCTCCCGGCACTCCGCATTCACTGCCCTGTTCCCTGGCAACTTTCCAGACTTCGCCTAGCATGGAGATCCATAGATTTGCCCCGTCGGAAGTAAATCACGATCCCGGGGCCCACCCAAGTAGCCTTGTTGGATGGCTCTTCCAATGGACTCGAGTGCTTCCTCTTCCTTGACCTTGGGGCTCGGAACACGAAGACGTAGTCGCCGGCCTTGTACTCGGTCCAAATTCGGGGTCTTGAGCGCATTGCCTTCTTCCAAGATTGCCGAGCGTTGTACTCGCAGAAGGCCTTGTGCGCCACCCGCCGCATCTCACGCAGCTTCTCGATGTCGTCCACCATCATGCCGTTGATGAGCATGGGGTCGACTCCTTCATCTGACAAGATGGCGGTTGGCAGTCTTGGCCATTGCCCGATTTGCCGTTGGATTGGCGAGAATCCGCTCCTGTTGGAGTATCTGTTCTTGGCTTGCTCGACCTCCATCATCAGCCGCTTCAGGTCTCGTTCATTTTGGACCACCGTCTCGGAGCGGGCCTTCTCGAGGAGTTCCTTGAAGTGTCCTCCATTCTGTTTTCCCCGCCTGCCAGGGAGCCTGGAGGCGATCTGGTGCACCACTATGCCCTCAGCGGCGGCGTTCTGGTTGAACTCGCCCATGAACTCTCGACCTGCATCGCAGACCACGACCTCGGGGCGTCCAAAGGTTCGGACCCACGTGCTCATGAAGGTGTCCCAGACTTCCTCTGGGCCCTTGGACTTCAGCATCTCGCACATTTGGTAGTTGGTTCCACAGTCCACCATGTTGAGAATTGGTGTGGTCATCTTTCCTCCGCCTGGCGCCGCTATGTAGAAGAGGTCGATGCCGATGACTCTTCCTGGCTGATATGACCTGGGCACCGTTGTTGGTCCTTCGGGTGCGCTTTTGCCTCGCACACGTCGCACTTGAACTCCTTGGAGGCCCATTTGATGACTTCCCCTTTCACTCTGGCAGCCCGAAGGAACCGGATGAACTCCGGCTTCTGAGGATGTCCCACGGCCCTGTGCACCTTCATCACCATCTTCTTTTCCTCCTCCGAGACCGTGTAGCTGTCTTCTGCCTCTCCGGAGTTTTCTTCATCGCCTGCGGCCTCTTCGTCGGTGTCTTCTTCTTCTGCGAGCACCTCCACCGGAAACGCTTGACCTTGAAGTTTGCTTTGGAAATGCTCCTGGATGCCCTTGACGATCTCCTTGTATAGTTCCGGAGGATATACCTGAGCTTTCATGGTCCGGTTGCCTCCTTCTAGCACCACATGAGGGTGTCGTCCATCGCATTGTCGATCTAGTCTTTGTGCCACGGGCAGCATGTCAGTCACCCATCTGGTAGGCTTCCGGTTGAGACCAGTTCCATCCACATTCACGCCGAACTGGCACATGTGGCTGATGACTTGTTGGACCCGCTTGTGGGCGCAGAGTTTTTGCAGCTCTGGCTCTTTCCATGATGTTGCCCACGCCGGGTGCTCGAACAGGATGCTCCTTGGTTCAGCTGCCAGATGCAAACTGCCACCGCCAGTCGTAGATGCTCTTGTCCTGCATATAGTATCCTCATGGCTTTGGCTGGATCGCCTCGTCCTTTGTCGATGGCCTGCATTTGACTGAATGGACCACACGGTGGACAGACTGCGATGACCTCGGGGCGCTCTTCTCTCAAGACCTTCCACATCTGCTTGCGGTCGAACTCCTGACTCCGGTCCCATCCAGTCTGAAGGTCGAAGCAAGTTCCGGCTTCCAGGCCTTTCTTCTCAGCGGCAGCACTGATCCTTGGAGGGCTGTAGAGCTCGCTTATCGGGCCAATGTGTTTCTCCACGTTGGACATGGCCTTCTGCAGGTTCTGCCGGTCTCGCCGGGAGTAGCTGGAGTTTTTGAGCTCATCCCATAGGTCTTCACGTTCCCCACGGCGTGTGAGATATACCTCCACCATGATGTCTCCAGCGTTCTTTGGGATGAAGCCGTCGATCTTCTTCTGGATGCCCTTCTCCTTGTCCTGGGTGTAGTAACTCCGGGCTGCTGTCATGAAGTGGCGACCCTTTTGAGCTTTTCTCACCCATCGGACCAGCCTTGGGCGGTTGCATCGTATCAAAGTGCTCATAGCTCTGGCTCCTCCTCCTCGACATTGATCAGCGAGGTCGGTACCGTCCAGGACCGGTCCGTGGTTGATGTTCCCGGCATCGGTGGAATCGGTCCGCTCGTCTTGAGGTCCCTTCTTGGGCTTTTGGACCTCCTTGGATTCTTGGACTCCTTGGAGGTGGTGATGCTCATCACGTCACTCGAAGAAGTCGCACTTCCTTTGGACGCACCTCCAAAACCATCTTCCCTTTCGAGGGGACTCCTCCTTCTTCACCTGTAGCCTCTCGGCTGGCACCCCGCACTTGCATTGGTATGCCTTGGTTGAAGGTGGCGGCATTCCCTTCGAGCTGGCCTCCGGGTCCGGTTGATCTCGTTCCTCCCGCATCTGGACGATCATCTGCATCAGCTTCTCTTGCCGGAGTTCTTGCTCCCTTGTGGCTTGAGCGGCTCTCTTGACCTCCTCGCTGAAGTGCTGCATTTGCGCCATGTTGATCTCGGACATCTTGATGACCGAAGCGGCCTGCTCGTTTCGAAGCTGGTGCATGAGGAACGCGGTCTGCCCCTCCGTCTGCTGTCGGAGAGTCTCCTGCATCATGTTCATCTGCTCGGCCGTCGGGCCCGTTGGTGGACCGCGCATGGCCATCTGGAAGGCCTCCATGACATCCGGTGTTCCCGGAGCCGGAGACGGCAGCGCTGCCAGATTCGAAGATGCCCTGGGAGGAGTCGACGGCGGTGTCGATGTCGAGGTGGTAGCCCCAGGCTTCAGGCTCAAGGGGCCTTGCTTCGGCATCTTTCGCACGTCGGCTGCCCGTTGATCGTGAGCCCACCTGGAATGGCACTGGCGGCACACTATGTAGGAGGCTGAGCCATTTCCTCCCTCACGGAGCTGAGTCTTCGGGCGCAGGCAGGTACTTACGGCCACTGCAGGGCCAATCTTGCTCTTCAAGGGAGGTAGTTGGCGAGCTCGTTGAATCGCCTCGGCATAATAGTCCGGCAGAGGACAGGGCCGATCGTGGTGAGCCCCACTCCAAGCACCAAGCCTCCGTAGCGTCTTGCACCGCTGCGAGCACCAGGATCACGGCGATCTTGTCCAAGACCACCCGCCAGTTTCTCAAAGGCACCTTCGGGTTGTGCACCTTTGGATGAACTTCCATGGGAGTTGCATCCTGTGTTGGCTGAACGCCCACCAATTTCTTTGCCTTGGCCAACAGCGCCGACATGGGTGGTTGGTGGACAGGTGTCGGACTTGACGTCGAATTTCGCCTCACAAGATTGAGCCGGCATAGCTGTCGCAAAGCATGAAGGTGTTGCAAGCTCAAACTCTTCAGACGTGCCGGCTTCTTCAGGAACAACGAACTTTCCGGAGGCGAAGCTAAAAATGTCTATGGTGATGTGTCCACTAGGTAACTCATGCAAGTCCACAACTCGGCCATGGGTTTGCAATGTCATGGTGCCACGTTTCAAGTCGATCAACGAGTCGAGAGCGCGAAGCATTCGAACGGGTAGTAGAAGGGGGACATCTCCATGAACCACTGTACATTCTAGCACTCCGTTCACCCCCGCGATTCCAATGGGAATCAACACCGTGCCCTCGACCTTGGCATTGCCTACCGACGCCCTTGGCTTGTGACTTCTTTGGGATCCATTTGACCTTCAAAGACCGTTGGGACAACTCATACTCAATGGCCTTGAGGGGACCCAGTCCTACCGAACCACCTTCCGCTGCTGTGTCCACTACGCCATGATGAGACTTTGTGGTAATCCCGCAAAATGCCGGTTCCCCAAGCTGCCGCTCCATGTACGCCCCAGCGCCAGAGCGATCAGCTTCAAAAACAGCATCAGATCCTCCTTGGGTCCGTTGCTCTTCCGGATCATGCCGGATCCAAAAACTACCCTTGCTCTCAGCAACCTCAGGGCTCTGGTCATCGAGCCGGATGAAAAAGGCACGGTTGTCCTCCTTGGGCTTGGCTTGACATTCCCTCTCCCAGTGCCCCACTTGTTGACATCGACGGCACCGGGTACGAAGCTTGAGTTGCTCGATGTGCACACGGCGTTTGCCTTTGTCTTTCCCCTTCGCACTGACTGAAGGCTTCCCCTTTCCCTTTCCAGGGAAGTAGCCACGCCCAAGCCGCTGGTCTTTGAGCTGCTGTCGAACTTCCTGGTAGGATGCCAAGGCCTCTTGCGCCTCCGCCTCATCAAAGACATTGTCCAAGTCGCCCTCCGCGATGTACACGAAGTTGCCGTCATCGTCGTCCGGAATCGGGCAGTAGGGCTCAGCCGTCTCGTAGCCCTCTCCATAGGGCTCCTCAAACATGTAGGCCTCCTCTGTCTGGAAGCTGCTCTTGGACTTGCCGTCACGGATCACCTTGTCCAGTCGGCGGAGTGCGCTGGTGATTTCCGCTCGCCCGTACTTGCCTTGAGACCACGTCAAGAGCTTGTGGTCCTGTGCCTCTGTCAGGGCCGCCTGGCGGTACATGATGTACCCGCGAGCGTCTCCTGGGAGATCCACGCCCTCCTTGGTCAGGTTGTTGAAGCATCGCTCCATCCTCTTGGCATACTCAGCGAAAGTCTCCTTCGGCTGCTTCGGGGTGCCGTACACGGCAGTCTCGAAAGCACGGGGAAGCGACACTTCCAAATGGGGAGTGAAGAACTCCCTCAACTTCTGCATGATGTTCTTCACCCCGTGCTCCGACGTGATGTCGGCCACCTCCAGGTCGTCCACGGCCACGGAAGCCGCTCCTGTGAGTTGCCTCAAGAGCTTCACTCCTCTTTTGGCCTCTGGGATGTCCGTCTCGTATTGCCAGAGCAAAACCTGTTTTTCGAACTGCCGAAAGGTCACCTCAGGGTTTTCACCATCGTACGACGGAGGGGGATCACGTTCACGATGAACGTACTCAGCAGTCCTGGTCGTTCTCGGCTCGGCGGTGCTTGCGGCCGCGAATCCACCAGGCTCATCAGCGCCGTCTCCACCAGCAGGCGCAGGCATCCTTCAACGTCCTTGGATCTAAAGCCAAGGCTCCGCGCTACCACTGTGGAACCAGCGGAACGCGCAGCTGCCCTGCTATTTCCCTAGGCAAAAAGGTTGCATGGCGTCGGGTAACATACGGCCCCTGTTCATTGGGCCAATGGATCGACGGAAGGATTGGTTCCCAGCATGCTCATGCCATCGTTTCCCGTTTCACAGACTCCTTACACTGGCCTGACCCAGCCTGCACCTAACCAACTCTCTTGCGTCTCTTGCGTGTGGCATGCTGCTGGCCAGGACAAAACAGGTCAGATTCGATGTTGTCAGTAGCTCTTGAGTCTCTCGAGCGGGCAATGCAGCCAAGCTACTGTTTAGAACGACCAGGCTAGATTTGAGCCTGAGGCTCGTCATTTGATCTAACGAATCCTCTGCTTCTGAAGAACCATGTATCACTTCTGGGTGGTCTTTGCACAGGTCAAGACAAAGTAGCCACGCACCCTCTGTCACTAGGTGTGCGGCTCTTGTAAAGTCCCAGCTTGGCATTTGCTTTCACCAGAGTGCCTCTATCTGCTGTAAAGTCCAAAGGAACGCAAGCACTGCTGGTGCTAAGCCAAGAGTCTGAACGTCACTGTATCCGGCGTGCAGGAAGACCGGAGCAAAGCATCAAAGCAGTCAGAGGCTTTGCTCGGTTGTGAACTGAGGGCGTACCTTGATCAACTCTTGATTCAATCTGTAGCCTCCGAAATGCCACCGGAATGTCACCCTCTCCCGCAGTTTATTCAAGATACGCATTAATGACATGGTTGAAGGCCATTGTGCTTACTTCCAATTTTGAATGTAACCTGAGTGAATCAGGCAGTGGCAACCCACCTCATCAGTGCCGTATGCATGATTCGAAATGTTAAGCAAATTATGTCCAACTGTACTCTGGGCAACAGCGTGTTCATCCAAATCTCCGAAGCGGTCGTATCTCCAGCATTAGCACACGCTTTTAGCAAAGCGCCATAGCACTGGATATCTGGCTGCACTGCCAACCTGATCTTGTCAGTTTATATCGAGGTGCTGAGACTGTCATCTGTAGGTTGCAGTGCTTCAGTCTTTCAATTGCGAACAGGGCTCTGCACGCATTTTTCGAAGCAGCGCGCTGCTCCAGCTGAGTCACAAGCTTCCGCATAGGTATCAAGCAAGCCTCGGATCAAATGTTGAACCAGTTTCAACTGCTCCTAACACCTTTCACCCTAGTGGTCGTAACGCCGAGGTGCTCGACATGATCACTGTGTTGGCTGGAACTCGATTCGCGAGCATCCTTTGAAACCACCTTTCCTCGAGAACATACAACAGGTTCATTAATGTCACTGTTTAATGAACACGCTTTGGCATAGTTGGTTTAATTTGGTCAAGTTCATGTATCTAGCTTCATGTAAACCAGCTTAGCTGCAGCGGTTTTCACAGAGGCAGTTGAGCTGCAAGCCTTCAGCATGCTACCATAGCTCATCTCATCGACATAGCCTTCCTCAAGCAACTTGAGCAGTGTTGCAAAATGGCACTGTCATCTTTCAATGCGTCTGTATGCTTGCATAAACCTTCTCTCTCTCTCTCTCCCCTGTATCCATCTCTCTGTATGTCCCCACTTCAGGTGGGGCAAGAAGCGAGGCCGGGCGGCGCCATTGCGGCATCTCGCTCTTCCACGTTGTTAGTCGTGGTGTGGAGGGAAGATTGGCAAGCAAGGGTTTGGAAGACACCAAGGTATTGTCATATACTGCAACGACCAAAACTTAAACAACGGATTTCTAGCCCAGTGAGAATCAGTTTTACAAATTGCTCTCCTGCTTTGTAAAGTTAGAATGTTGCCACGACACTGCCTCCATCTTCAGCATCCACTTCTCCTGAGCAGTGCAAATTTCCACCACATCACCGACTGCCCCAAGGGGTGGCGATAGCATTGCTGCCCAAGTGGCAGCAGCACAAAAGTCGCCATTTTGCGCGGCTCCCTTCACTAAGCTTGTGTAGCAGTGCTGGCCAGGGTGCCTGAAGTGCATTGAGGAATCGTGAAATTGTTTCAAAGCAGCACCGCTTGTATGGATCCCGACCTGTGTTTTCACCAGTCATTGAAAATAGAATGCTAAATACTAGTACAAAAATTATAGAATGGCACCAAGTCTATCAGCAGGCAAAGCACTGCAACGTCAAACGCATGCTTCAGCGCCTGAACATTTGTGGATTCGATGAATATTGATATTAGCCTCTCTTCCTTGAGCGATCTGGCCCCCGTGATGCAAAGGCAAGCGGGGCCGCCTTACATATCTTCACAACCGAGGTGCATCCTGGCCAATTGCATCTTCCCAAGCCACAGGTCAGCTCTGCCCATTTGACCAGTTCGTGCGCAGGCATCGAGCATGCTCCCAAAGCTGACTTCATTTGGCTGGAGCAAGCCTCACATTGTATAGCAATGGCTCACTTTCGGACAGAGATTGCGTTGGATATGGTCACGTGTCACAAGGTGGCTGCAAATTGATACCAAATCCTGGGAATTGGCTCCACGGCTCTTGGTTTCGAAACGACATTCAAGCCACGCCGGGAGATCTCGTACATCCAATTCTCTGCGGCGTCAAGCGTGTTCCGGCTCGCTTTCACCATGCCTGCCAAGTGGCTTAAATTTATCGATATATCTTATGTATCTTACAGCCTACCCAAAAGAGCCAGCGGACTAGAGTTGCAACCCAAGGTTGGATACTTGTCGTCACCTCCGTGAAAAAGTCAAAATTCAGGCGGTGGGAAGTGCCTTTTCTGGTGGGAAGTGCCTTTTCTGCGCAAAATCGTACAGTAGGTGTGGTGACTCTGGTGTTGCTGAGTCTTTTTTGTGTGTGTGTGAAACCCTTGGAGTCACAGGGAATCCCTTGATTTGATGTTGATTTCGTTTTTGAGCAGGGGGTGCGGCATGATTGTGGGACCGCACTCAACGAAGCTACCACATTTTTGGGATACCGAGTTAGATCAACTCGACGTACCTGCTGTTTCACCCCTGGTTCCTCAGGTTTTTAATGAGGCTGGCGTGTGGCAAACCGCAAGTCGTGTCAGTACGCATTATCTCGAGCGTGTCTTGGAAACCTGCTGATGTGGCTTATTCCCAGGCTACGCGTGTCCTGCACAACTTCCTTCTCCTGTGTCACAAAAATGCAGGTGCTTTGATGAGATGACACAAAATCGCAGTGCACTTGGCTGCATGTTCAGCTGTGGAGATTCTGCCCATGAAATACTTGCAAGATCTTCCCCTTGTTGTTTGGTGGCATATAGAAGAATCAGTGCACTCGCCAGTGCATGCCAGCGTACTGTTGTAGCTGATGATGTCGGGCTGCAAGAAGCTTTGGGTCATTTCCTCCTTGTGAACGATTCTAAGCAACATGTTGGCATCAGCACGGGGATTTCTGTGACAATTAATTGCAGGGATGTCATCGTCTAAAACAAGACTGCTTCATATAAAGGTACAGTAAGGGCCTCCTTCACGGCCCTTACCCTCCTTGTTCCAAGTATATACCCGCTTTTACTTAAACCCAGTCTCAAACTTCGATCGAACAGGCGTTCGACTAGTGCTTCGCTTGACGGGTTGGCAGTAGGGCCAGGCCACAATGACACGGATCAAATATGGATGGAAGTGTGATTCAAAGCAGTGGTGACCTCATACAGTAAATCCAACAAGTGCACCCACACAAATCCAAGACTCAAACCATCTCTCAGCAGACTCTGCATCCCCCCGTTGCGCGCAGCAATTTATGGCCTGAAAACCAGCCAAATGTTGGCCCAGTTGAGCTGCTAAAGAATGAAGACGTCAGCGTTGAATTCTTCGGACAGGCATTCAATTTGCAACTCAAGCTTGAATACCAAGCATCAATGTTGAAACTCACCGTGTCTGTCAGAGCCTTTGCCTGAGATATGTGATGCGAGAACATCTATGAAGCATGAAGCCACTGCAAATCCAGACAGCGTGGCCTGATGCATTTCTTGTAGGATCATATCAGCCCTGACCTTTCCACGCTGCTTGGCACATGCTGTGAGGACGGCGTTCAGCAACGACGGATCTGTCCTTAGTTGGTTTCACCCCAGGTTGTTCCATATATAGCATACTACAGTATATAGTTTACTTGAGGCCAAGGGGGGGGGGCGAAAGCTAGCGCTCCAGAATGGGAAAGTGGAGGGCAGCGAGGTAGGAAAAAACACGGCGCTCTTTTTGGAGGCAGGAGTGAAGAGTCCTTTATATGTGGCTCTTTGCCCGGATCCTCCTGCGAGAGAAGAGAGAGAAGAGAGACGGAAAGACGAGAGACAGAGAGGAGAGAGAGAGAGAGAGGAGAGAGAGATGAGAGAGATGAGAAAGAGATGAGAGAGATGAGAGAGATGAGAGAGACAGTGAGACAGTGAGACAGTGAGACAGTGAGAGAGTGAGAGTGAGAGTGAGCGAGTGCGGCCGCAAGATACGCAACGCTAACCGCATGCCAAAGAGCGACGACAGGACGGAGTCGAACTCGCGAAGAGGGAGGTGGGGAGAGGGGAGGTGGGGAGAGGGGGGGGGGGGGGGGGGGGGGGGGGGTCTTCGACCTGAATAATCAGGGGTTAGGATTTGCACCCGGTCGAAAGAAACCTTGCTATCGCAAGAGTAACTCCAGCTAGCTTCGCTAGCTTTCGTGACTTACTCCATCGACGACTTTGAAGCACTCCAACGACATTCCATCCTTTTGTATCCGCATGCACGTATCCACATCAAATGAAATCCATGGCTCAGCTCACCTTGATTCACTGCCCTTCTCAGGAATGGCAGGCTGTCGGAAACGTTGTGCCCTCTTGCCAGTGCTAGAGTAGCTGCTTGGGAAGGCAACGAAGACACCTCGGCATTGTGCGAGGACTTGCACTCTCTGCGTCGCTTAGCCTGAACCACTGAGCTCTCTGCATCGCTGGCGTCTGGCCCAATAGCCTGAATGGGAGGCTTTGAACAGATATCTACATCAGGGTGCGTTTCGTGCCTGGGTTGAAACTTCGGCCCTGGTTTGGCAAGCTTCATCCGGCCTGCGGCTGAGTCAAAATGTTGCAAGAATTTTGGACTTATTGAAACGTCAGATTCTGATGAATTCAGACCTGCGCCAGCGATATCGGCAAAGGAAGCATGGGCGCCTGGAGCGCCTGTGGAAGCCTCAGCTCTTGTGCAATTAACGAATTGTGTTGATTGGTTCACAGCGTCCTTGCTGCCCCTAGTAGCTTCTTGCTCCTAGTAGTAAGGCCAAGAGCCCCTA